GTTAATGAAAGGAAACGGTATCTGAATTTGCCAACTGGATATGTGTTCATTAGTGCACTAGAACACTGTCTGCCTTATGACGCCAGAGAATTAATCAAATGATATCCTGCAGTTGAGGGATTGTATGCTGGACATTCTTAAGTACCGAATTTGCAAGTTTGGAGCATGACACCCTCCTGACACAGTAGTACATGAAGCTCTTTCTCGGCAGTGACAATCAGCAAGGTAGGTAGAAAGATACGGCAAGGCAGGTATTTCAGGATCACATTCAACTATCACTGAGCTGTGCAAGGGACAGGAGCCTGAATGTATGGATCCAATCCATGAGTGTCCCACCTGCCTGAACAGTCACTCCTCTGTTCTCACTATCTACTACTTGGAATTCTACAAACAAGGCAGTTTTGATCAACAGTGTTTTCTCAATGGACTTAGTCCTAAGGGAATCTCAAAAGGAAGGAAGAGAACAAGTTCATTGCCTTAACTGTCACGTGGTTTCCTAGGAATTCTCATGCTGTCTAATGTTCGAAGGCAAGGATAAAAAGATACAAAAGGCACTTTACCTGATGTTTCCACTTACCTGAAGGGGAAATGACTTAAGGCATATGAGTCTGCATCCTGGATAACTGAAAAGCTGAACAAAAGAGATGAGATAGCCATGAGAGAAGGGGAAATGACTTGAGCCACATGGTCTCACACACCCTGGATAACTGAAATGGCCGAAGGGAAAGAAGGGTGAGGGATGCGCATGAGAAGCGTGCTTGAGGCCTCTGCAGCACTGACACATAGTTTTTCCCAACAAGTGTCTTCACGAGAGACTGAGCTCTGCTGCTTTCCTAAAGAACAGCATCTAGACTCACCTAAGTTCCCCACAAGGAAACAATTCATGTAAATGAGGGTACTTGCACCTGTAAGGAAGACTAACTGAAGTTATACCCAAGTAATAACATGTCTTTTGCTATAGATTAATTGTTATGTTATTGAGTATGATTTTGTGTCATCAACTCTTTTAAGACATTCATTATCTACATATTCCTGGGGACCTCGAAAGGCATAATACATCAGTGATTTCGTGTGCAATCTATATTTACATGGGAATGCTAGTGAAGAAACGGGATAAATAGATCCAGGATGCCCACAATAACCATATAAATAAGTAGATTTCATGAGGCATCACCATCACAACTGATATTACAGAGCTGTCTGGAAATATCATGGTATTAGCTGAAATTTACAGGTAGAGCAATGTAATCAATCTAACAACCTCAAGTTAATCACAAACCTATAATCACCTGATTTTTGATAAAAGTCTAAATTATACAAAGGAAAAATTAAAACCATTTTAACAAACGACACTGCCATAAGTATATAAGCATTACAACGATCTACCGGATAGATCCATTTATCACCTTGCTACAAAATTTAAATTAAAAGGATCAAAGATACGAAAAACATAAATCCAAACATTGAAACTCTTAAAGCATTAGAGATATAAATAATGAGTTCATACAAGAGACAACTTCCTAGATATATACAGTAGTACAAATTTATGTACGAAGGATGTGAAGAGGGGCTACCTGCCTGCTGGTGGTGTCCAATTCATACTTACTTTAGAGTAGTATGGAAATTCCTCAGGAAAAGGAATCAGTCTACAAGACACAGAATCTGCTATTAAGCATATAAGCAAAAGCTTCAAATTCACCTAATAAGGACATCAGTACCACTATGTTCATAATAGTATATTTGTGATTGCCACAACCTGAAACAACTAGATGCCTCTCAGCTGAGGAGAGAATAGAAAATGCTGTACATTCATACATTAGTACTACTCATCAAGAGAAAAACAGTGGAACCTTAAGTGGCAGGCAAATGATGGCACCTAGAAGAAACTATCTAATTTAGGTAACCCAATCTCAAAAAGACAAGCTTGGTATATACTCCAATTCTATATGGGTTTCCCACATATATCAGGATGGGAGCCAGTACGAAGATTCACTTCTGGAGGTCTGGCAAACAGAAAAAATCCCTAAAACAGGTGTGCATGGTACCCCAGAAGAGGGAGGCGAGAGGCAGAAGATCCTAGACAGTTTAGGAACATGGCAGAAGATGAGGGTGGGAGATGGGAAGAAGAAAGAAAGAGCGGAGAAAGAGTAGGGGAAGAGGGTTGGTAATTTAGGAACAGGAAAATTTGAAATTGGGCAAAATAGAGGGAAGAACAGGATTAGAAATACAATATTAGGTAAGTCATAAGTTTGAAGAGGGATCCAGCACAGGGAAGCACTAGCGATCTAAAAAGTGTGACACAAACAGGCAAGCAAAGTGATAGTTGAGAGACCACCTTAAATGTCCATTACTGATAATGAACTTGACATGCATCTTAACATACCATCTATCACCTTTATTCCAGCTACTGATGGAAACAGGGCAAAGCATCCCAAAGTTAAACACTGACTGGACCTGTGGAACTGGTGACACAGAGAGAACAATAAGCAAATTCGCAAAGGTGGAGCTAGCAAAACCAGAGACAGCTGATCTGAACAAGCTGTGGTAAGCTTGGATACTGATGGCTGGAATTTGGGGTGAGACTGATCAACCCTGGGTGTAGATTCAGTAGGCATTCCTGGGCAACAGTTGGGCACTTTAGGCGGTAGATCCCGTGATTTCCTACTGAGAACATGAGGCTCTTTCTAAATTGTAACAATCAACAATGGAGATAGAAAGACACCCCAGAGCAGGGCTTTCAAGAGCATATTCTTGTCACCTGAGATGCAATGGACCCAGGGCCTGGATATCCCAGGCCAATCAATGTGTCCCACCTCCCTGAACAATGCTGCTCTGTTTCCCAGTATCTACTACTTGGAAATTCTAAACAAGGCAGTTTGGATCAACAGGAGTCTTTTCTATGGAGGGCAGTCTGAGACTCCCAAAAGGAGGGCACATGTTCATTTACCTGCTATCACTGATTTCCTAGAAATTCATTCTTTCTAATGTTTGAATGCAGGGATAGAAAGATATGAAGCACTTAATATGATCTTCCAATTACCTGTAGATAGAAATGACAGGGCACAAGTGGCTGCATCAGGATAGCTGAAATATGAAAAGATGGACATGAGCCAGAGTGCTATGCCTTTTAACTATGACATCCAGAGTTTGTCTAACAAGTACCTTCTGAATACAGGTTTCAATTAACTTACTAAAGAACCAGACTTAGACGGACTCACCTGAGGAGCAGTACTTATTATGCAGGAAACTTTGTGATTATATAAAGAATACCTGAGACTAATTTATTCATCCTATTATTATAGGACTCAATGTCATGTTATTGAATATATGATTTTATGTCATCACCTCTTTAGTGACATTCATTTCATCAGATTCCTGGGTCCTCAAGGAAGACGTATGCCTGATAGAAGCAGTGCAGCTTTCAGGATGACAAAGACCATCTAGAAGGTGGTCTCGAACTTCAGACAAATGGTAAGGCAGCATTAGGTTCCTTCAAATACAGAATCAGATTTTCTTAGTCAAGAAAAAAAATTTGGGAATTCAAAGTTGCAAGTTTTATTGTCAGGAAATTACAAAGCACAGCTTTTGTACATCTAAACTCGATCAAGTTTATTGGCGTCAATTACTAAATGGAATTCATTAGGTGAAAATGTAAATTTTGACAAGTGATTATATTGCCACCTAGACAAGCAAAGCTTTTCCTGTTTCACCATCATCTCACTGCTATATTAGCACATTAGCTGGCGGAATATTGGGAAGGCATATTATTATAGGTCTACTGAAAACCTATTAGGTTCAATTTATGGACAATGTCTTACAATGGCAAAGACGTGTCATCTACTTTTATTTGCACAGCGCTATCGATTATTCTCTGACATCACTCCTAATACCATAGAAGGATCGTACCCTAAGGTTCTTAATTGCAATAGCACCATGCATACCATCTTATGTTCTCTTGCCCGTTCATATAACCTGATTTGAAGCTTTATGTCGATTCATGTGATGAAATTCCATACTCATATTGTGTGGTGAGTTGATCAGGATAATGAGCCTTTGTATCTAGGCAAAGAGGGAATGCCTGTTTAAAAGCAAGCTGTGGAAGTTGTCTCATTATTGCCTGATGCCTGCGTGGCGAAGTTACTAGTACAAAAATAGAGAAAGGTACTTCAGGCTTAGTTTACTGATATATCCATCAGTGCAGTAGAACGCACAGGACTTCTATCTGCCATTTGACCGACAGAAAAATACTTATTGATCTTTCTGCAGTCCAAGTCTGTATATGTACATACCTGAGCACATTCTTTGCAGCTAGAGCATGTGAACCTCCCTGACACAGCGAGAACGTGTAACTCTTGCCCAGGTACCAGGCAACATAGGAGTAGATAGACCCTCGAAGGATGGATTTCAAGATCACATAAACCTATCACTGAGATGTGCAAGGACAGGTGCCTGATGTTCAGCCCAATCCTTTTGTCCCCCTCCCCAACAGTCTCAGCTCTGGTTCTAATACCTATTAGTTGGAACTATACATGACAAGGCAGGTAAGTACCATTTTTTATGGGCTTAGAGACTTCAGGTTCTACAAAAGGAAGCAGAGCACAAGTTCTGTGCCCCAAGTATCACAGGAATCCTAGAAGATTAAATTTATTTAATATTTGAAGGCAGAGATCCACAAAGGGATCAGAGGCGTTTATAGCATGCTGATGACTCTTATCTGAATATGCTTATGACTGGGGTCAGATAATCAGGATGCTGGATCACTGAAATGCAAGAAGGAATAGAATGATATAAGTAGAGTGCTTATGCCTGCTTGGCCTTGATATATAATGTGCTTCAACAAGGGTGCCTTCTGAGGCAGGCTGATGCTCATCAAGAAAACACAGATTGACAAGAGTTCCCCAGATGAGGGAACCAATGTTAGGTGAATGGGGGCCTGTGTACTGCACTATAGTAAAGTCTAGATGAGACATGGCCCTCATTTCTCCTCTGTCCTTTAGCCTGGGCCTCAAGCGTAATCCAAGTGAGCATGTGGTTGTATATCATCACCTCTCTTCATGACATTGGTTTGTCATCATAGACCAGCGTCCTCAGAAAGGCATCGTGTACCTGAATAGTGGAACACAAACTGTGCTTAGCACCAAGACGTGATACCATCTAGCAGGAAGTGTTGGCGAGCTGGACAGAAATGGTCTGCGGCATTAAACTCCTGCAAGGATCAAGCAGAATTAATCTACTAAGTCAAAAGATATTTTGTGGTTCAAATGCTAGGTTATTGTCAACAGAATCACAATGACATACTTTGGAACGCAAACTCGCTTATCAAATTAGTGGCAATTGCTAATCGCCATGGGGAGATGATGAAATTATAATAGTGGTTGCCTGTTTGCCACCCTTAGACAAGTTTAAGCCTTCATGATGCTGCCCTCATCATCACTAACTGCATTCATAGATTTGGTGTCAGACTGTTATTGAAATATTATAGGTCTGGTGGAAACATTTAGCGTCGGATCATGAACTATGTCATAAATTGTCCAACATCTCATCTGATGTTGTATAAAGCATCCTATCCCATATCCACTGAAATCACTCCCTAATCACCATCGTAAGATGCTTATCCTCAAGGTTATTACATTGCCCAAACACTACACCTGAATACATACACTCAAGATCTTAGGCCCATTCCTTTTCACTGCAACAGTATACCTGGGAACTTGGGATGTCATGCATGTGTTTGAAATTCCAGGCCCATGATGTGTGGTGAGTGGGTCTCCATAGGATTATAAGCCTGTGAATCTAGGCAATGGAGAGAATACCAGTTGATCTTAACACACTTACCTGAATGTGAAATGATTGTGGCACCAAGACTGCATCCTGGATAACTGAAATGCAGAATAAAGATATTGACATTAGTAGATTACTAAGGCTTGCCAGAATTGACATACATAGATTTCCTGCTATAGTGCCTTCGTAGGCAGGCTGAGTGCTCCTCTAAGAAGAGGACATGGAACTCACATGACTCCCAGACAGGGAAGCAATGCTGGGTGAAATAGGGGCCTGTGTACTGCACCACTATAAAGGCATGATAATACTCCGCCCCACTTTCTCACCAGTCCTTTAGCCTCAGAGCTTCAGCATAACCTTTTAATCATGGTTTTTATATCATCACTTGTCTTCAGATCATTGGAACTTTGTCACTTTCCACCGACCTTGTCCTCAGAAGGGATGGCTATAACTGATAGTAGAACACAACTAGAGCTGCTTACTAAGATGACAAGTACCATGTAGTATTTAGGTGCTCAGTGATCTTCGAGACAAATTTTGTCAGTGGGCATTAGACTCCTGCAATGTATTGCGTCAGAATCTGTTACTCTTGTTTAAAGGACAGCTTTTCCATTGCTAAAATATTATATCAGTGTCAGAGGAGTTGGAATTCACGGTTTCTGAAGAGGTCCCAAACACTCGAGCATGATAATTGGGGGCATTTGGTAATCAAATCCATGGAGGAGATAATGAGCGTTTTTAATACTGGTTTACCCCTGTTAGCCATCCCTATACAAGTTTATCCCTTCATTCAATGCCTGAATTCATAGCATTAGCTGACTGATCATTATTAAGGCACATTAGGTCTAGTGAAGCTTATTTAAACATCTGGTCATGCACAATGCTTAAAGTTCAGGAGTATCTGCATGTTTTGGACTATACCATTTTCCTTTGAAATGACTGCCCTAACTATAGTAAGATCAGGTATGTCAAAGTTAATTTCTGAAGCACTGCAATTAGAGCGCCTATACACTTTCTTTTAGCACTATCCTCATCAAGTATTAGGCAAAGGCCTTTACTGCTGCTTGGAATGCCTTTCATGTGGTTGAAATTCCATGCTACTGATGCTGTTGTGAGTGTGTCTCAGATGATAGTAAACCTGCTTCTAGGCAAAGTGGGGAGCAGCTGCCTGAATGCACCTGTCTAATTTCATATTTGTCCTGATACCTGCATGGAAAGGCAAGTTCATTAAGCAAGAAAGGAAAGGAATCAAGGTTTGCCTAACTGATATATTCATTAGTGCACCTAGAACTTTGTGAGTCTCCGTCTACATTGCAGGCCACAGAGGAGTAACTTAATTGATCTCTCTCATTTGATAGCCTGCAAAATTGGGATATTTATTACCATCTTTGCAAGTTTGGAGCATATCACCCTCCTTACTCAGCAGAACATGAAGCTCCTGCCGTGATCTATCAATCAGCAAGGGAGGGTAGAAAAGACTCCAAAGACAGGAATATCAAGTTCACATTCAGCTCTACTGAGCTGTACCTTTGTTCCAGGGCCTGAATGTCCTGAATAATCCTTATGTCCTCCCCCAATTGTCGTATTGATTCAATGCCTACTAATTTAGATTCTACAAAGACAGGCAATTTGAAATACCATCAATCATTTATGCCTAGGAGAGGAGGCACAAGTTTCTGTTCTTTATGTGTCACCGGATTCAAAGAATGTCATGCTTTCTATTATTTGAAGACGGACATCCAAAGATTCTGAAAAGGAACTTAACCTTGTCTTTCCACTTGCCTGAAGGGTGGAAATGACTGGGGCACCAAATTGGCATTCTCGAGTCACTGAAATGGAGATAGAAGATATGGAAATAAACAGAATGCTGATAACAACAACGATGACATACATAGGTTTGCCCCAAAAGTGCCTTCTGAAGCAGTCTCGGTGCTCTACTCACAAAGAGCACCTGGACGTCTGGGATACCCCAGACGGGAGAAAAAACTGCTGGGAAGATTTGGGCCTGTGCACTGGCCTATGGTAAATACTTGAATAGATTATGCCTAATTTTCTATCTGTCCTTTAGCCCTGTGCCTCACTTGACCGCCTTGTGTGCATGATTTTTATGTCATCAACTCACTTCATGACATTGGTTTTTCATCATAGTTCGCAGTTCTCAGAACGAGGTAGCTCTCACCTGTTATTGCAGCACTAAGACAGTGCTACACCAATCTGATAAAGACCATCCAGCAGGTATGTCTCTGAAACCTTCAGACAAATGTTCAGCTGACATTAGATTCCTGTAAGGATCAAGCACCAATCAATTGTCTTAGTCAAGGAAAAGTTTGCACGCTAATAGTTTGTAAGTTGAGTACCAGCAGAATTCTTGCATACCAACTTCTGAAAGCCAGCACTCAATCATGATAATTGGAATAAATTACTAATCAATGCCATGAGGAGATAATGACAAATTTTTATTTGTTTACATGTTTGCATCCCTAAACAATTTTTTGTGGACTGCCTATTTATTTAGACTAGTAAACTCAGTAGTGACTTTCAAATGTTAACCTAGAGGGATTGATAAATATGGGTTGCTGTGAGCCTTGGCACCATAGACTTTCTTATTTCACTATGATGATGTTTGTCTTGTGGACACTGCATCCTAATACTTCCCAGGAAAGGCCAACGGAAACAACCTTGTTTCTTATCTAAATTTAAACTGGAAAATAAAATATAAAAAAGACGGTGTCCAGGGTTATTCCCTGAACAACATCGCAGCGTAAATGAATCACTGATTTAATTTGCAGATGAGTTATATGATGAAGCAGCTGTGAGCGCACGAGAAAATACCAAGAAAACGCCGACAGCTATTGCTGCCAGGGGGGTCCCACCTTAATCCTAAACAATTTTAACTTGCATTCATTTGTTCCACCCTCATAGATCACACTGTTCTCATTGTTTGCAGTACCTGACAGAGCATTGGGAAAGGCATATGTAAAGGTTACTGTAAAACATTTTTTGGCTCTTTTTGTATGCTTTTATTTAAATTAGAAACATGCATGCTTCAAGTTTGTCGCAATCCCAGCTCCTCTCACACCTCCTCCCTTGTCCCTCCACCAGCACCCCTAAAATTTTTTATACATAAACATATTTTAATAATATGAAATTTCTATCATCCTATAGTCTCTGCCTAATAGTTATTAACTAATTTTACATCTGACCGAAGTCTCTCCCCCACTCTCTCCACCCTCCCCTCCACCTCTTCACTTCACCCTCACTCCATATTCAACAAAGAAAGAATTTTTTTAAAGATTTATTTTTTTACTGCTGTACACTTTTCTGCCTACGTGCCAGAAGGGCGCCAAATTGATTATTAGATGGTTGTGAGCCACCATGTGGTTTGCTGAGAGAATTGAGACTCCAGGGCCCTGGAACAGCGGTCAATGCTCTTAACCTCTGAGCCATCTCTCCAGCCCCAACAAGAAAATTTTTTCATACAATAACGGCTTTCACAATCCTTTTCATACAATAATGGCTTTCCCACGAAATCCTTGTCCTTACAATAATGCTTTCACAAATCATTTCATACAATAATGGCTTTCACAATCCTTTTCCTTGCAATAATTGATTTCACAACTCATTTTAGTAATACAATAATGGCTTTCACAACCATTTTAATTGTGCTGTCCAGGAGTCTAACTTGTCGTGCCCACCCCAATCCCTAAACAATTTTAGCCATTCATTTGTTCCACCCTCATCGTCCCGTAATCCATTCTTTGAGGTACCTGACAATGAGCATTAGGAAGGCATATTAAAGGAGATGCTGAAAACATTTTAACATGTGATCATATGTTGTGTCTCCAATGGTCACAAGTCAAGACTCATCTGCTGATCTTTGTGTGCAGTAGCTCATATGAGATTTCCTCTAGCGACATTTTCACCCTGTTCTTAGCACCACTTGTAGGATATGTAGCCTTCAAGATTATTAATTGCACAAGAACCACCTAAGAAAAATTAAATGGTATCTGTGTTTGTCGTACCTAATGTGTCCATTAGTGCACGCATTAACACTGTGAGTTTCCATCTGCCTTATGGATCCCCCAGAAAAAATTCTAGTCAGCCCTTGAGTGCTTGGGTCTGAATAGTGGACGTTCCCCAGGGTGCAAAAGGAGCACAATTTTTTGCAACATTAATTCTTGATAGCTTGTCCGAGTCATGAGTCTCTGTGGTTCACACATTATATACCAACTTTCTGAAGAAGTACAGTAAAGCGCTATCTCATTCTTTAAAGGTTAAGTGCCAGGTGTGCGTGCTTTTCTACCTAAAGTATGCTTAGAAGCTAACCCCTTTAACAGAAAAACAAAATAAATCATGAAAACTCTGAGACAACATTGTAAGAGTTCACAGACATATAAATCCAGAAAATTTCGGAATATTAAATTAGGAAATCATAGGAGGCTTTAAGGTTTAAGATAGCATGTTTACATTGGAACTGAAAGGTTATGATTGAGAATGGATTTAAAAGAGAGTTTACGAGATGCCATTCAAACAGCTGAGGTGTTCTCGAAGAAGCCTCAGAATGACTAATGATATTGGTGATTACATCAATGACCTCACAAGGAATTCCATGCTATGTGACCTAGAATGCTAGTGGAAAAAATGGGATAAATTGATCAGGATAGCCTAAACTACCATATACAATAAAAGGAATTTCATGAGGCATCACCATCCCTAACTTCAAAGCACTATTACAGAACTATAGTCTTGAGATGCATCATAGTATTAGCAGAAAAATAGACAGTGTAGAACAATATAATCAAGGTTGAACACCCTGACATTGATCCACAAACCTATAATCACTGGATTTCTGATAAAGAAATGAAAATTGTACAATGGAAAAAATAAACCATCTTCAACAAACGATACTGGCATAACTGTGTATTGGCATGCAGAAGACTGCAGATGAGATCCATGTGTAACACATTGTTCAAAACTTATGTCCAAAAGGATTAAAGATGTAAACCTAAATTCAACCAAACTGAAACTCTTCGAAGAGACATAAGGAGATACTCTTCAATGAATTGGTACATGAAACTGCTTCCTGAATATAATACAGTAGTACAATTTATGACCAGAGAGGATGTAAAGAGAGGGGCACACTGCCACTGCTAGTGAGAGTTATAATTCATACACCCATTTTGGAAATCGGTATGTACATCCCTCAGGAAAATGGTTATCAGTATACCACAAGACCAGGAATTCCACTCTTAGGCATTTATCCAAAAGATTCTAATTCCACCAAGCAAGGACATCTGTACCACTATGTTCATAATAGCATATTTGTAATTGCCAAAACCTGGAAACAACTCAGATGCCCCTCAACTGATGAGGAAGATGAGAAAATGCTGTAAATTCACACAATGGAGTATTACTCAGCAGAAAAAAATTGGAATCTTGAAATTGGCAGGCAAATGATGGCAATAAAGGAACCATCCTGACTTAAGTAACCCAGTTACAAAAAGACAAACATGGTATATACTAATTTTTATATTGATTTTAGATATGTATCAGGATAGTGCCAGTCTGCAATTTCACTGACAGAGATTCTGTGAAACAGGGAAAGAACCTGTTACCCAAAAGAAGAGGAATGAGGCAAGATCTCCTGAACAGTTTGGGGAACATGGCAGAGAGATGTGGGGGAAGTGGGACATGTGAAGAAGAAGGGGTGGAGGGTGTGCGGGAGAGTAGATCATGGGGAAAAGGAGGTTTGAGTGGGAATAGAATAGAGGAGAACAGGATTAATAGATGGAGTCATAAGTTTGAAGAGGGTCTAGAAACTGGTGAACCCTCTAGCTATCTAAAAGGATGACACACGAACAGGCAAGCAAAGCGTTTGTGGAAAGACTATCTTAAATGCCAATTACTGATAATGAACTTGGCGTGTATCTTATATGCCATCCTATCAACTTCATTCAGTTACTGATGGAAGCAGAGGCAAGCATCCACAGTTAAACCCTAAATGTACCTGTTGAACCTAGCAACAGAAAGCAGCAATGCGCATATTCCCAAAGAATGGGCTGGCAAAATCAGCAGAGACAGCTGATCTCAAAAAGGCAGAAACCTTGAAACTCATGCTGACAGCTGGGAGGCCAGCATGGGACTGATCCTGAACTCCTGAGTGTAAGATTCAGTGAGCAGGCCTCGACAACCAATTGGGCACTGGGCAGTAGATCAGTGCCTACAGGCATACATATGGACTTTGTGTGTCCATAATATAAAGAGGGATGATGTCTCAACCTGGAATCTTAGGGGAGTGTCTGGACCCTGACCTCAGTGAAATTAAAAACTATGGGTATCCCCTTTGTGGAAGGGATTTGGACAAGCCTGGCAGGCTGGGGTTTATGTTGGTGGATGCGGGGATAGGGAGGAGAGGGAACTGGGATTGATATGTGAAGCAAAATATTTAAAATTAAAGTAATAAAATAGCAAAGGTCATCATCTGGTTAATTTTAGAGGCATTCCATCTTTTGGATTTCATGAGAATATAATCATTATGAAATGCTTACTGCACTTTTCTTCCTCCTCCTCTGTATTTTTAAAAGATTACATCATCTTCTCCTATACACTTCCACAGAATGTCCTTTGTTTCACAATCCTGAATGCATTTTCTGTTTTGTCAATAACAGTCAAAATTTTGTAGAGTCATGTAGCATGTATTCAAATGCCATCAAATTTATGGATGTGTATCTGGTATGTCTAAAGTAATATCAAAAGCATTTTCAATGTAGGCCTTTTGGTTTGTGTGTTCTGTCTGATGATGCCTATCTATGGTAAGCTACCACATTTTAACTCTCCTTAAATTTCTAAATTTCAGTTATAGGTATCCCTAAATAGAGAAGGTTTTTTTGTAACTAAAATTCTTGCTAATGTGCCTGATCATGAGCCTCATGAAGGTCTCATTGTGCTCCAACTTTTGAAAAATACAGTAAAAGTTTCTCTCATGCCTTAAACAGTTAAATACAAATTTTGAGTGCTTTCATATTGGAAATATTCTTAAAGACCTCCCTGTGACAGGCAAAGAAAACAGATATTGCAATCTCTAAGTGTACATTGTCAGAGTGCAGAGCCATTTGAATCAGAAATGTCGATTATTAATGTGTATTGTCTGTTCTCCTTGGCTATTGATAGCAAAAGAGTTCAGAATTCTGGATCAGGAACAGATGCACATAAATGGGCATTTGAGGTACTGAGATTTTAGAAGATGAGATAGAAATCATGAGAAGGATTACGATTTAAGATGTCTTAATTACCTAAGAGCAGAAAACGTTAGATTGTGGTGGTTACAATATTTTACAAAATGACATTCACATAACTGGAGTCTTTTCAATGAAAAAGCACAGAGGGATAAGTAAAATTTGTTGAACATTTCGGTGACTTGACAAGGGAATTCTAGACTCTGTCATTTTAATGCCAATGGACTGAAAGGGATGGATGTGATCAATATTCTATGAATCAAAACATAAGTGCCAAGACAGTGACATCACAGAAAATTTATTTTTTGGTCCCCTCATGTTATAGATCCTGTGGTTCTGAAATCTGTCATTGTATGGAGGGACCTGCACAACAGACTAAGATTCAATGATTGCCTCTCCCACCTGAATGTGAAGAGGACTTTGAAATTCCCACCTGCAACTAATTAGAAGTAAAAAATATCATTGATGTAATTGTATCCTGACTCTTATTTCTAGCATGAATTGCACTGGTCCTCAAACACAGACAGGATATTTCTTCTATAACAAAGTTGTGATTGTTGTTACTTCTTCTATACCTGACTGTAAGATTTTATGGAGAATGTATTAAGAGAAAGAATGGCAGATGTTGTTTGTGGTTTTTATGTAAATATAAGGATAATTCATGAAAATGACTAGCTCTTTGCTGAGTTATTTCAGGAACTGCTAAATGCTATTACATACAGAAGAATCAAATTGTCCATGGAATTCACCTGTATTTGTTATCAAAAAGTCTTGAATTTGGAAGGTGGATACTTATATGAAAGCTATCATCCTGGTACTTCAGCCTATGGGCACTTGACATCTTGGGTTATAACTACCTTTTCTAGTACCTAAGGAGTTGGACAATTGTAGTTATAGATTGAAAAGATTGACTTCTTTATTATATCATTACAAGAGAAACAGAGAAAAGTTTTCTTCACAGTACCTACCTATGACAATTCTAAACCTGTAGAAAGATTTCAGTGGAAGGTGCTGCAAAAGGAATGTTAAATAGCCTGACATTCTTCCAGTATTTTGTGCAAAACCTTTGGAAATCATTCATAAACAAGTTAATATATCATTATATGGATGACATATTACTGTCTGATTCAAATTAACGTACTTTGGAATAGATGTTTGAAGCAGTAAAGTAAACTTTGCCTCATTGGGGATGAAAAATTACTACGAAAAATATAATGAGGACATACCATTAATTATTTAGGTTATGAAATGGACTCACAGAAAATTAGACTACTGAAAATACAGATCAGAAGAGATCGTTACAAGACTCTTAATGATCTTCGAAAACTACTTGGAGAAATCGTTCAACCACAGACAATTATCAGAGAATTGCATGATTTAAAACACCCGAATATGGCATTAAATTGAGACAAAGACCTAATTAGTTGAAGAATATTATCTGCTGAGGCTGAAAAGAATGAGAATGTGTAATAAACAAATACTAGAAACACATTTGGACCATGTGCATTCTGGTTATTTTACCATCTAGACAATGCTGCACAGAAATGTTAATGCACAGGAAGGGCAGCATAGTTGCATGGGTATTCCTTCCACATAAATATAATTAAAAACTAGTAATGTATAAAGAAATGTTCTCTGATATGATATTAAAAGATAAGTTAAGGCTTTTCAACTTACTGGAAGAGACCAGCCAATATTATTGTATCTTTTAGTAATGAAGAAATTTTCTCCTAATGGAAGGATAATGAATAAAGGCTAACAGCCTGCAGTAACTTTGGGGGAAAGTAGTAACAATAATACCAAAACAGAGAGTATCAGTTTCATAAATAAACTTTTTGGATTCTTCTGCATATGTTGAGAAAATGCCTATTTTTGGAGTTCTTTCATTCTACACTGATGCAAAAAATCAAGTAAGGCAAATAATAAACCACAAAATATAAGTAAAGTAGTTCAATGTCCATACAGTTCTGTATATAGGGCAGAGCTATACATCATTCTCATTGTATTTAAAAACTTTACACAGCCTCTCAATTTAGTTGTATATTCTCAATATAATGAGAGTTATCTTACACATTGAGGTTGCAGAATTTGTTTATGATGGAACAAAATTAACCCCATTGTTCTCCAATTCGAGGAAAACATCAGATATAGAACTCATCTAATATATGTATACGATACATCAAATCCCATATTTACCTTGGTTACCAGTGTTCTATTGTATGTGCTTGCCACAAAAAACATTACTTATACCCTCATCAAGTGTGGTGTTTATCTTTACAATAAATTGTCATCCTTCAAAACAGAAAAGTAGTAGTCATATTTGGAAACATCACTGTTGTCAAGGTGACCAGTTATCTGAACCTCATATTGACATTTGTATGAGTCAATCACTGCCTTCAGAGACTTGTTCTCATCAATGACTCAGGCAAGCCCTCTCTTAACACATGAGTCTCTCCAATGCTGCAGGAATAGCTACTCACATTGACTTTGAAATGGATGGTAAGGACTGTGCAGCTGGCTTGTTGCTCAGCTTCTGATCTGACTTACTGAACCACATATAGAATGGTCTCCTTCCTCATAAACCATATACACATTGAAAAGTTATCAATGTTCAATATGCCAGAATTAATTATTAAAAAGGGAAAATTTCACTGAGCTTTTGATGGGCTCAATTTGTGAACTGAAGTGGATAAATTACTAAGAAAAAGAACACATCAAAAATGACAAAGGTCATCCTCTATAAATTTTAAGGGGCATTCCATTTTTTGGATTTTATGAAAATATATTTACCATGATATGCTTACTACATTTTTCTTCCTCCTCTTCCTGATCTCCCCTATGATTTCATCCTCATCTCCACACATAATCAACGAATATGTGCTGTGATTCACAATCCAATACGGATTTTCTATTTTGTCAGGTAACAGTCAAAACCTTTTAGAATCATGCAGTGTGTATTCAAATGCCATCACTTCCTCAGTGTGTACATGATAAGTAGTGCCTACAGTTATATCAGAAGCATTTTAAGTGCAGGCTTTTGGTGTGTCTGTTTCTGTCTGAATGAGGTCTTTCTATGATAACTACCATTATTTATACTCCTCTAAATTTCCAAAAGTTCAATTGTAAGTCTCCCTAAATAGAAAACTTCATTTTTTACATTATTTATCACTAAAAAGTCTTGTCATGTGCCTCCTGAGGTTAACCCTATGCTCTAGTTTTGTGAAAAAGTGCAGTAACATGTTTACACATGGCTTGAATATTAGTTTTGAATGCTTTCCCATAAAAAACAGGCAAAGATATCATATAGTGAAAACTCTGAGATTACATTGTCAGAGGTACAGCCAGATAAATGAGAAAAGTTTAGTAATAATTTGTGTTCTCCAATCTCAGTGGCGATTCATAGTGAATGGTACCCCTTGTATTTCTCACAATTGTGGAGTAGCAACAGATGGGGAAAATGGGCTTCTGAGTAACCGAGTTTTAAGATGAATGAAGTAGGAAAACATTAGAAGCATTTAGATATAAGATGTCTAATTTACCTAATAGAAGAAAAAATGAGATTGAGGTGGTTAAAGGAGATTTTACAAAATGATTTTCCCACAACTGGGGTCTTCACATTAAAAAACAATAGAATAATAAGGAATATTTGGTGACCTTTTCGGTGACTTGACAAAACAATTCCATGCTATGTGAACTTGAATGCCAGTGGGCTGAAATGGAATAAATGTGATCAACATTGCACGAATCAAAACATAGTGCAATTCAGGAAAATGGTATTTCAGATCCCCTTCCAAACATAGATATTTTCCAGAATATCTGGCAGCTGCACTTGTAAATGAGATGGTAAACTTCTTTTCTCTGAAAGAAAGGCATTTTCTAAAAGAACTTGAGGAGCACACTGCAACCTTGAATTTAATTGATGGTTTCTGTTTGAGAACTGTGTATTTAGCCACTATGCTAGGACCAGTTTCTTTATTCAGTTTCCTTTTCTTTAAACATTTTTTAGGTACAGGTATCCATTCAACACATGTCAACACTCCTAAAGACTTCCTTTCTTAGTATCTCAGAGAAATTTAAAAATTTTGTTTGATCTTCATTTGGATGGATCTCAATGATTCTGAATATAGGGTTTGCGTTTCATAGGTGTTACACTTGAGAAACTGAGTGTGTCTGCTTCCAATTATAAGGCCTGTTTGCAACTACCTGTCTCTCTGTTTGCCATGGGAGTGTTCTGCAGATGCATGAATCTGAGTGTAGTGCTTCGTACAAGTCAGAGTTGTATCTATTTGCAAACTGTATTATGTGTGAGTGCTATGTTTTCTTCATTAAATACACATGTGGTAAAATACCTGAAATGCAAACATTCAGGTGTCTGATCACACCATTAACTCTAGCAGAATAATTAGGGTCAATTTCCAATCAATGGGACAGTTGAGGAAATGAAAACTTTTAGTGGTGGCTACCTGTCGGCTGCCCCAAGGTAAATTTAATCGTTTAGTTGATTCAACCTTGCCTTCTGTGCCTTCATTCCTAGAATCAGACCATGTAATATTGGGAAAACACGATACACAGCTACTGAAATTATTTCAGGTTCTGATCTTTGCCATGTTCCTGACAAGGTCCAAGACTGCCATCTGCTGTTTATTGCATAGCACTAACACATTAGCATCTGAAAATTACTTCAACTCACCAGAGCAGAATGCTTAACCTGAAGGGTATTTATTTCCCAAGGACCTTCTTCTTAGGATTCTTGTTCAAGTTTTATGGTCATTCATTATAATAAAAGCCAGGGAATCCTTTATATATATATACCATGCACCTGATGTGTGATGAGCTGGTCTCCAGATGATATTGAGTCTGTGTATTTGAGGGTGCAATGCATGTGCATCACATGATGCACCCTCTTGCTTTGCCTAATATTTTGCATATTTGGGTGACAGGAAAAATTCCTTAATTCCAAGGGACAGAAGGCATCTGATCTGGTCATGCTGCCAGTGTCCATCCTGGAATCTGGGGCTTAGGTACTGGTTTTTTCCAATAGGAAGGTAGCACATGAATGCTGTACTGCAAATGTTATTAAATGACTCAGAAGGTCAGCTGTATTAGTAGGTGAAGTCACAGGACCCAGAGAGAGCCTGGACCGTGGGCATTTCTTTCCACTTCTCTGAAAGTCTCATCTCTGTGGCACCAAGATGACAACCAGGATCACTGAAAGTCAGCAGATAAGATGGGACATGTGTTTCTTGCTTGTTACTGGAAACCTAGACATGTGTAGAGTGTTACAACAAGGGGCTTATGACACAAAGCTCAGTGCTCTACTGAGGAAGTGCAACTTGACCTCACAGGATTCCCCAGACAAGGAAACACTGTTAAGGTAATGAGGGCCTGTGTATTGGACTATGAGAAAGGTCAGAGGAGACTAGGCCCCTATTTCTTTCCTATCATTTAGAATGATTTTTATTTCATCACCTCTCTGTGTAACCTTGGTTTGTCATTATAGACCCATGTTCTCAGAATGCATATATGTACCTGAAATTGGTACATAAAAAGTTCAACTTAACTCATGGCAAAGATAGTTTAGAGGGTAAGATTTTGGGAAATTCAGACAAATTGTCAGTTTGCTTAATTCTCCTTCATGGATTAAAACAGAATCAGTTCTCTTGGAATCAGAAGCATTCTTTCCAAGTTGGGTGTCAAAGGCTACTATTCTGACGTGGAGCTCATCATCAGAAAAATACAATATTCTCCATATGTTGACATGATTTTAGTATATTGGTGCTTTCTGCTCAGTCGGAGGACATGGCTTGATTTGGTGTCTGGATGGTACATGACTATGACCCTCCAGATGTGTTTAGTTAATTGAACAGAAAAGTAATAATTCTAACACAAAATAACTTATCTTCCATTGCTGGTAATTGGGGACAGGATGAAGGTACTGCAGCCTCTGAAATTCTTGGTAATGGTGGCAGGGAATACTACAATCCTTCTTCTCCTTTCCCCAATATAGGAATGTCACAATGCTGTGCCCCGGTAATGCTCAGTGATGAAATCACTGATTCCTCATCTTTGAATTCATTCTCTCAAACCCTCGGTAAATCAATGAAATAAAAACAAGGGTGAATGTATGTACTTGTATAGTGTAACAGAAAGTGATTCATCATATGATACTACATGATAGTCACATGAAAATTGTTTTCCCTCAAAATATGGGAGATAAAGCAGTATGCATTATTTTCTGTCATCCTGAAAAGGGGAGCAGTAGTATCCATATTCTGGAAACATCACTGTTGTTTAGGGAACATCCCACCTGGCCCTCAAATTGTCATTTGTATGAGTTGCTCACCATCCTCAGAGACTTATTGTCATCATAGATAAAGAAAACCCCTCTCTTATCCCCGGTCTCTTTCCAATGGTACAGGAAAGCTGGAATAGCTAGTCTCTTTGACTTTGAAATGGATGGTCAGTTTTCTAGTTGCTCATATTCTGACCAGAGTTACTGAACCACAATCAGAATGAACATATGGTCTTCTGCCTCTTAAAACATTTGAGACGAAAACTTATGAATTTCAAAATTGCAGCTTTAATGATAAAAATGAGAAAAACCACAGAGCTTTTAAAGTTGATAAAATATTTTTAAAAACACATAAAATCTGGCAAAGATGGTCTTCTTATTAATTTTAAGAGACATTCCAGCATTTGGATTTCATGATAATATATTCATTATGAGATTTTTCTACATTTGTCATTCTCCTCATTCTGATCTCCCCTATATTTTCACCTTCATCTCCCTAAAAGAAGCACGAATTGTCCTGTGTCTAACAATGCAGTATGGAATTTTTATTTTGTCAAGTAACAATGTGAACTATATAGAATCATGCAGTGTGTATCCAAGTGCCATCAGGTAATGGATATTGATGAAACAAGTAATGTCAACAGTAATATCAGAACTGTTTCCAAAGCAGGCCTTGTGGTTTGTGTGTTTCTGTTCCCTGTAGTTGAGGGACTGCATAGTGGACATGCATGAGTGCCATATTTGGAAGTTTGGAGTATGTCACACTCCTGACACTGCGAGAATATGAAGTTTTTGCCCCAGCAATAACAATCAGAATGGGTGCTTGATAGACACCCAAAGCAAGGAATTTAAAGGTAACATTTACCCATCACTGAGCATGGCACAGGACCTGCACATCTGACCCAATCTAGGTGTCCCATTTCCCAGAACAGTCACAGCTATGTTTCCCAGACCTATGATTTGGAATTCTACAATAAAAAACAGTATGAATTACCATCTTCTCATGGGAAGAGGCTTAAGGGATTGCCAAAAGAAAGGGACTGCACAGTGGACACTCCTAGCACATTCTATGCGAGATTGGAGCATGAATACATCAGAGTGAGAACATGAAGGTCTTGGAAACGCAGTAACAATAATTAGGGAAGGTATTTGAAGAATACATTAACCTATCAATGAGCTGTGTAATTACAATGGACTGAAAGCCCTGATCAATTTCTTGTGTCCCACCTGTTCAAAAATTCAGAGCTCAGTTACCAATATCTACTAACTGGAATTCTAAAAGACAAGGCATCTTTAATTACCATCTTTTTATCATGGTCTTATTCAGATTGGATTCCAAAAAGAAAGGGAGGTCGCAAGTTTTCTGGCTTAAATTTCACTGCATTCCTAGAAGGTCTAGTTTTCTAATGTTTGAAGTAGGATATTCAATGGAGAACTTGGTACTTAAGCTGATATTTCCACGTACCTGAAGGTGAAATAATTGAGTCACTAATTCTGCATCCTCGTTCACTGAAATCCAGAAGAGAAGAGATGGAAATGAGCAGCATGCTGATGCTGCCCAGATTGACATACATAGATTTCGCCAAAAAGGGCCTTCCTTGGCAGGACTCATGCTCCCCTAGGGAAGAGCATTTGGACTTAACAGGATTTCCCAGAAGGGAAACACTGCTGGGTGAATGAGGGCCTGTGCACTGGCCTATGATAAAGGCCAGATGGGCCTAGTCCCCCATTTTTCCCCTGTCCTTTAGTCTGGGCCTCAGCAGCCAGAACCTGAGCATGATATTTATGTCATCACCTCTCTTCATGACTTTGGTTTGTCATCATAGACCCGTGTCCTCAGAAGGCATAGCTATACCTGCTAGTGGGACACAAACTGTTCTGCTTACCAGGATGACAAAGACCATCAGTCTAGAAGTAGGTCTCGGCAAACTTCACACAAATAGTCAGCGGGCATTAGACTCCTGCAGGGTATGAAGCAGAAGCAGTTGTCTCAGTCAAGGAAAATTTTATGGTTCCAAAGTTCAAAGTCAGTGTCAGCAGAATTGTAATGCTCAGGTTTTGAAAGCCCAATATCTACATTGTGATGATTGGGTGCATTGATAATCAGTGCTTAGGGGTACATAATGATAAATTGTAAATGCAGTTACCTTTTGAAACACCTAGCTAAGACTAATCCTTCACTGGTTTCCTCCTCAACCTCACTGTCAGCATTCAATGCATGAGGTGACAGACCATTGGAAGGGCATATTATAGGCCTGGTGTAAACATTTTACCATCCGATCATTTACTGAGTCTCCCTAGGTTCAAGACATCTCTTCTGCTCTGCTCAGAGCTATCCTATTTCCCTCTGACATCACTGAGTACTCACCATTGTAGGATGCATAACCTCAAGTTTCTTAACTTCCCAAGCACCACATGCATAGGATCCCTTCACCTGATCTCTTGCCCAATTCCTTAATACATGAAGGATGGAGGCCTTCATAGCTTGGGATGACATTCATGTGTTTGAAATATCATGCCACTTATGTGAGGTGAGATGATGTAACATAATACAGAACCTGTGCATTATTGCCAACAGTGGAATGCCTGTTCAGTTGCACATTGTCAAATTGCCTAATGTGGCCCATTGCCTGTATATCAGGACAAGTTCACTAACCCTAAAAAAAAGAAATGGTATATGAGTTTATCTTTCTGATGCGCAAATTATTCAGCTAGAACATTGTGAGTCTCTGTCTCCCTTCAGACCCTCAGAAAGGTAACCTAGTGATCTCCCTGCAATCCTGGACCTGCAGACGGGACACTCCTGAGCAACATCTATGCAAGACTGGAGCATGAATCCTTCCTGCCAAAGTGAGAACATAAAGCTCTTGCTAAAGCAGTAGCAATCAGTATGGAAGTTATTTGAAAAATACATTCACCTATCAATGTGTTTTGTAATTACAATGGACTCAAAGTCCTGATGTATTTCGTGTTTCCCAGTTGTATGAAAATTCACAGCTCAGTTACCCAATATCTACTAATTGGAATTATGAAGTCAAGGCATCTTTAATTACCATCCTTTTATCATGGTTTTAGTCAGATAGGATTCCAAAATGGAATGGAGTACCCAAGTTTTATGGGTCAGATTTCATTGGAATCCTAGAAGGTCTTTTTTTCTAATGTATGAAGGAGGATATCCAAACTAGACCCAGGTACTTAAGCTGATATTTCCTCGTACCTGAAGGTGAAATGATTAAGGCACCATGTCTGCATCCTCGTTCACTGAAATGCATAAGAGAATAGATGGCAATGAGCTGTGTCCTCATGCTGTCCAGCTGCACATACTTAGATTTTGCCAAAAAGAGCCTTCCTTGGCAGGACACATGCTCCCCTAGAGAAGGGCACATGGACTTAACAGGATTCCCCAGAAGGGAAACACTGCTGGGTGAATGAGGGCTTGTGCACTGGCCTATGAGAAAGGATGATGGGATTAGTCCCCCATTTCTCCCCTGTCCTTTTGTCTGGGTCTCCGCAGCCCCAACCTAAGCATATTTTTGTCATCAAAAGTCTTCATGATGTTGGTTTGTCATCATAGACCGGTGTCCTCAGAAGGCATAGCTATACCTACTAGTGGGACACAAACAGTGCTGCTTACCAGGATGACGAAGACCATCTATCTTGAAGGTAGGTCTCGGCAAGCTTCACACAAATGGTCAGCGGGCATTAGACTCCTGTGTGTATCAAGCAGAATCAGTGGTCTCAGTGAAGGAAATTTTATGGTTCCAAATTGGCAATTCAGTTTCAGGACAATCGCAATGCTCACGTTTGGAATGCCCAATATCTACATTGTGATGATTGTGTTCATTTATTATCAGTGTGAAGGGGTACATAATGATAAATTGCAAATGCATTTACCTTTTGCCACACCTAGCCTAGATTAACACATCACTGGTTTCCTAATCATCCTCACTGCCAGCATTCAATGCATGAGGTGACAGATCATGGGAAGGGCATATTAGAGAACTGGTTAAAATATTTACCATCTGATCATTCACTGTTTCTCACTAGGTTCAAGATATCTCATCTTCTCTTCACAGAGCTATCCAATTTCACACTGACATCACTGAGTACTCACCATTTTAGGATGTATAACCTCAAGTTACTGTACTGCCAAAGCACCACATGCTTAGGATCCCTTCAGCTGTTCTCTTACACTGCCTTGTCACAGGAAGAATGGAGGCCTTTATAGCTTGGGATGACATCATGTGTTTTAAATTTTATGCCACTTATGTGTGGTGAGTGGGTATCTACATTATGCTGAGCCTGTGCATTTTTGCCAAGAGGGTTATGCATGTCCAGTTGCATATTGTCGAAATGCCTTTTGTGGTCTGTTGCCTGCATATCAGGACAAGTTCACTAATACTAAGAAAAAGAAATTGTATCTGAGTTTATCTCACTGTTGTGTACATTAGTGCACTAGAACAGTGTGTTTCTTTCTTCCTTTGACCCTCAGAAAGGTAAACTAGTGATCTCCCTGCACTCGTGGGCCTGCAGACGGGACACTCCTGAGCAAAATCTATGCAAGACTGGAGCATGAATACTTCCTGGCACAGTGAGAACTTAAAGATATTGCCAAGGCAGTAAAAATAAGTATGGAAGGTATTGAAAAATACATTCACCTGGAAATGTGCTGTGTAATTAAAATGGAATGAAAGTGCTGATCAACATATTGTGTCCCACCTGTTCGAAAATTCATACCCCATTTACCCAATATCTAGTAATTGAAATTCTATAAGACAAGGCATCTTTACTTTCCATGCTTTTATCATGGTCTTAGTCAAATTGGATTGCAGAAAAGGAAGGGTGTACCCAAGTATTATGGCTTAGATTTCATTTGATTCCTAGATAGTCTTGTTTTCTAATGTTTGAAGGAGGATATCCAAAGGAGACCTAGGTACTTAAGCTGATATTTCCACGTACCTGAAGGTGAAATGATTGAGAAACCAAGACTGCATCCTCGTTCACTGAAATACATAAGAGAATAAAAGGAAAAGATCAGTAGTCCTGATGTCGGCCAGCTGGACATACTTAGATTTAGCCAAAATGTGCCTTCCTTGGGAGGACTCATGCTCCCCTAGAGAAGAGCACATGGACTTAACAGGATTTCCCGGAAGGGAAGCACTGCTGGATGAATGAGGGCCTGTGCATGGGCCAATGGGAAAGGCCAGATGGCATTAGTCCCTCATTTATCCCCTGTCCTTTAACCCTGGCCTCAGTAGCCAGAACCAGAGCATGATATTTATGTCATCACCTCTCTTCATGACGTAGGTTTTTCATCATAGACCTGTGTTCTCAGAAGGCATAGCTCTACCTGATAGTGGGACACAAACAGTGGTACTTACCAGGATGACAAATATCATCTATTCAGAAGGTAAGTCTCGGCATCTTCACAGAAATGGTCAGCGGGTATTAGACTCCTGCAGTATATCAAGCAGAATCAGTAGTCTCAGTCAAGGAAAATTTTATTTTTCCAAATTTGTAAGTAATGTTTATGGCATTGCAATGCTCAGGTTTGAAATGCCCAATATATACATTGTGATGATTGGGTGAATTGATAATCAGTGCTTAGGGGTAGGAAATGATAAATGGCAAATGCAGTTACCATGTGCCACACCTAACCAACATTAACCCATCACTGGTTTCATCTTCATTCTCACTGTCCGCATTCAATGCATGAGCTGACAGACCATGGGAAGGGCATATTATAGGCCTGATGAAACTATGTTACCATCTGATCATTCACTGTTGCTCACTAACTTCAAGATTTCTCATCTGCTCTGCACAGAGCTATCCTATTTCCCTGTGACATCACTGAGTACTCACCATTGTAGGATGTATGACCACAAGTTTATTAACTGCCCAATCACCACATGCATTGGATGCCTTCACCTGCTCTCTTTCCCTACCTTATCACAGGAATGATGGAAGCCTTTATAGCTTGCGATGACTTTCATGTAATTTAATTTTTATGACACTTATGTGTGGTGGGTGGGTATCCACATAATACTGAGCCTGTGTGTCTATGCCAAGAGGGTTATGCATGTCCAGTTGCTCATTGTCTATATTCCTCATGTGGTCTGTTGCTTGCATATCAGGACAAGTTCACTAATCTTAACAAAAAGAAATGGTTTATGAGTTTAACTTACTGATGTGTACATTCGTCCTCTAGAACACTGTGAGTCTCTGTCTCCCTTTTGACCCTCAGAAAGGTAACATATTGACGTCACTGCTCATCTGGGCCTGCAGATTGGACACTCCTGAGCAACGTTTATGCAAGACTGGTACATGAATACATCATGGCACAGTGAGAACATAAAGATCTTGCCAAGGCAGTAACAATCAGTATGGAAGGTAGTTGAAAAATACATTCACCTATTTATGTGCTGTGTAATTACAATGAACTGAAAGTCCTGATGCATTTCTTGTGTCCCTGCTGTTCAAAAATTGACAGCTCAGTTACCCAATATCTACTAATTGGAATTATACAGTCAAGTCACCTTTAATTCCCATTCTTTTATCATGGTCTTAGTCAGATTGGATTCCAAAATGGAATGGAGTACCCAAGTTTTATTGCTTAGAATTCATTGGAATCCTAGATGGTCTTTTTTCTAATGTTTGTAGGAGGATATCCAAAGGAGAAGTAGGTACTTAAGCTGATATTTTCAGGTACCTGAAGGTGAAATGCTTGAGAAACCAAGACTGCATCCTCGTTTACTGAAATGCATAAGAGAATAGATGGAAATGAGCAGTGTGCTCATGCTGGCCAGCTGCACATACTTAGATTTTTCCAAAAAAGAGCCTTCCTTGGCAGGACTCATGCTCCCCTAGAGAAGGGAACCTGGACTTAACAGGATTCCCCAGAATGGAAACTGTGCTTGGTGAATGAGGGCCTGTGCACTGGCCTATGAGAAAGGCCTGATGGGACTAGTCCCCCATTTCACCCCTGTCTTTAGCCTGGGCCTCAGCAGCCCCAACCTCAGCATGATATTTTTGTCATTACCTACTTCATGACGTTGGTTAGTCATCATAGATCCATGTCCTCAGAAGGCATAGCTATACCTGCTAGTGGGACACAAACAGTGCTGCTTACGAGGATGACGCAGACAATCTATCCTGAAGGTAGGTCTCGGCAAGCTTCACACAAATGGTCAGCGGACATTTGAATCCTGAGAGTATCAAGCAGAATCAGTTGTCTCAGTGAAGAAAAAATTTTTTTCCAGTTTAAATTTAGATAAGAAATAAGGTTGCTTCACAAGTCAGTTCCAGGTCCCTCTCCCTTTCCCTCCCCTCCTCCCTTGCCCTCCTCCCAGCACCTCCCCGTTATCCCCTCATTCCCCATGGAGGGGGAGGCCCTCCATGGGTGTGTCCATCGTCGGTCATTTCATACAGGGCATGGCCGACACTTCCTCAAGGGTTCAGGGTGAGAGTTCACCTCACATTGTTCTATGGGAGTCCACAGTCCGCGTGTAAAATGGGATGGGTACTGATCTGCTGCCCAAGGCTCAATAGATTCCCTAGGCATCCTCACTGACACCCAGATTCAGGGGGTCTTGATCAGTCCCATGCTGGCTTCCCAGGTTGATGCATGGGATTCAAGAGTTAACCTTTGTCTGGTCAGCTGTTTCTGGAGGTTAAACCAGCCCAGTCTTAATCCCTTTGATCATCAGTCCTCCCTCTCTGTTACTGGCTTTATTGAGTTCAGCTCAGTAGTTAACCAAGGGAGTTCGCGTCTTCTTTGATCAGCCACTAAATGAAGTTTCTGTTTTCTAGACTCTTTGGCCATAGGATTGTAGGCTGGCACTCCCCAGATCTATGTCTAAAATCCATATATGAGATAGTACATGCCATGTTTCTCTTTTTGTGAATGGGTTACCTCACTCAGGATGGTTTCTTCTAGTGTCATCCATTTGCCTGTGAATGTCATGATTCCTTTTTTTTCTGCTGAATAGTACTCCATTGTGTAGATGTACCACATTTTCTCTATCCACTCTTCGGTTGAGGGACATCTAGGTTGCTTCCAAGTTCTGGCTATTACAAATAAAGCTGCTATGACCATAGTGGAACAGACATCTTTGTTGTATGAATGGGCATCTTTTGTAAATATGCCTAAGAGTGGAATTGTTGTTTCTTATGGTAAATTTATTCCCATTTTTCTGAGGAATCTCCATACTGATTTCCAAAGTGGCTGAACCAGTTGGCACTCCCACCAGCAATGGAGGAGTGTCCCCCTTTCACCACATCCTCTCCAGCATAAATTGTCATTGGTGTTTTTGATTTTAGCCATTCTGACAGGAGTGAGATGGTACCTCAGAGTTGTTTTGATTTGCATTTCCCGGATGGCTAAGGATTTTGAGCACTTTCTCAAGTGTCTCTCAGCCATTTTAGACTCCTCGATTGAAAACTCTCTATTTAGTTCTGCAGCACACTTTTTAATTGGGTCCTTTGATGTTTTGGAGACTTGCTTCTTGAGTTCATTGTAAATTTTGGAGATCAACACTCTGTCAGATGTGGGATTAGTGAATATTTTTCCCATTCTGTGGGCTGCCTTTTTGTCTTGCTGTGTCCTTTGCCTTACAGAAACTTCTCAGTTTCAGTAGGTCCCATATATTAATTGTTGATCTCGCTGTCTTTGCTACTGGTGTTATGTTCAGGAAGCTGTCTCCTGTACCAATTCGTTCAAGGGTACCACCCACTTTCGTTTCTAAGAGGTTCAGTGTGGCTGGATTTATGTTGAAGTCTTGATCCATTTGGACTTAAGTTTTGTGCATGGCGATAAACATGGATCGATCCTCATTCTTCTACATGCCAGTCTCCAGTTATGCCAGCACCATTTGTTGAGGTTGCTTTCTTTATTCCATTGTATATTTTTAGCTTCTTTGTCAAAGGTCAGATGTTCGCACGTGTGTGGGTTAAACCCGGGTTTTCAATTCGATTCCATTGGTCTACCTGTCTATTTTTGTGCCAATACCAAGCTGTTTTCATGACTATAGCTCTATAACAGAGCTTGAGGTCAGGGATGGTGATGCCTCCGGATGTTGACTTGTTGAACAGGGTTGTTTTGGCTATCCTGGGTCTTTTGTTTTTCCATACAAAGTTGATTATTGTTCTTTCAAGGTCTGTGAAAAATTGTGCTGGGATTTTAATGGGGATTGCATTGAATCTGTAGATTGCTATTGGCAGGATTGCCATTTTTACTACATTGATCCTACCTATCCAAGATCATGGGAGATCTTTCCATTTTCTGAGGGCTTCTTTAAATTATTTCTGTAAAGGTTCAAAATTCTTACGATACAGGTCTTTCACTTGTTTGGTAAGCATTACCCCAAGGTATTTTATGTTGTTTGTGGCAATTGTAAAGGGTGATGTTTCTCTGATTTCTTTTTCAGCCCTTTTATCATCTGTATTTAGTAGGGCTACCGATTTTCTTTAGTTGAACTTGTAGCATGCCACTTTGCTGAAGGTGTTAATCAGCTGTAAGTGTTCCCTGATAGAGTTCTTTGTATCATTGATGTAAACTATCATATCATCTGCAAACAGTGACTGTTTGACCTCTTCCTTCCCAATTTGTATCCACTTGATCCCCATTTGTTGTCGTATGGCAATAGCTAGAACTTCAAGTACCATGTTGAAAAGGTATGGAGAGAGCAGACAGCCTTGTTTTGTTCCTGATTTTAGAGGAATTGCGTTGAGTTTCTGTCCATTTAGTTTGATGTTGGCTGTTGGTTTACTGTATATAGCTTTTATTATGTTTAAGTATGTCCCTGTTATCCCAGATCTCTCCAAGACCTTTATCATGAAGGGGTGTTGGATTTTGTCAAAGGCTTTTTCAGCATCTAGTGAGATGATCATTGATTTTTGTTTTTCAGCTTGTTTATATCGTGGATTACGTTGATGGATTTTCATATGTTGAACCATCCCTGCATCCCTGGGAAGAAATCTACGTGATCATGGTGAATGATTGTTTTGATGTGTTCTTGGATCTGATTTGCCAGTATTTTATTGAGTATTTTTGCATCAATGTTCATGAGGGATATTGGTCTGAAGTTCTCTTTCTTAGGTGTATCTTTGTGTGGCTTGGGGATCAAGGTTATTGAAGCCTCATAGAAAGAGATGGCAAAGACCCTTCTGCTTCTATTGTGTGGAACATTTTGAGAAGAATTGCTATAAGCTCTGTTCTTTGAATTTCTGGTAGAATTCTGCACTGAGGCCATCTGGACCTGGACTTTTTTTGGTTGGGAGACTTTTGATGACTGCCTCTATCTCCATAGGGGTTATAGGTCTATTTAAATTGCTTATCTGTTCTTGATTTAGTTTTGGCAAGTGATATCTATCCAGGAAGTCATCCATTTCCTTTAACTTTCGAATTGTGTGGAGTACAGGTTTTCAAAGTATGACCTAATGATTCTCTGGATTTCCTCAGAGTCTGTTGTCATGTCCCCCTTTTCATTTCTGATTTTGTTAATTTGCGTGTTCACTCTCTGCTGTTTGGTAAGTTTGGACAAAGGTTTGTCTATCTTGTTGATTTTCTCAAAGAACCAACTCTTCGTTGCATTGATTCTTTGTATTGTTTTCCTACTTTGTTGATTTCAGCCCTCAATTTGATTATTTCCTGGCGTCTACTCCTCCTGGGGGAGTTTGATTCTTTGTGTTCTAGAGCTTTTAGCTGTGATGTTAATTCTCTGGTATAACTGTTTTCCTGTTTCTTCATGTGAGCACTTAGTGCTATGAACTTCCCCCGTAGCACTGCTTTCAAAGTGTCCCATAGGTTTGGGTATGTTGTGTCTTCATTCTCATTGAATTCGAGGAAGTCTTTAATTTCTTTTTTTATTTCCTCTTTGACCCAGGGATGGTGCAGTTGAGCATTATTAAATTTCCATGAGTTTGTAGGTTTTCTGCAGTTTGTGTTGTTGTTGAATTCTAATTTTAAGGCATGGTGGTCTGATAAGATGCATGGAGTTATTCCAATTTTTTGTAGCTGCTGAGGTATGATATGTTGCCAAGTATGTGGTCGATTTTTGAGAAGGTTCCATGTGGTGGTGAGAAGAAGGTATATTCTTTTTTATGTGGATGAAATGTTCTATAGATATCTGTTAATCCCAGTTGTGTCATTACTTCTATTACAACCTTTGCTTCTTTGTTGAGTTTCTGCATGGTCCATTTGTTGCCGTTTATGAATTTTTTTGTTTGTTCTTCCTTTTTTTGCATTTTTTTGATTTGCTTTTTGTTCCATTTCTCGCATTTTGTGCTTTTGTTCTTCTTCCATTTCCTGCCTTTTTGCTTTGTTTCTTCTTCCATTTTTTCACTTTTTGCTATGTTTTTTCTACCATTTCTTGCATTTTTTGCTTCGTTTCTTCTTCCATTTCCTGCCTTTTTTGGTTTGTTTTTCTCTTCGAATTCTTGCATTTTTTTGGTTTGTTTTTTCTTCCATTTCTTGCATTTTTGGTTTGATTTTTCTTCCACTTCTTTGAGGGATTTTCCTATATCCTCTTTTAGGGCGTGTATCATTTTCATGAAAGTGCTTTTAAGGTCATTCTCTTCTGCTTTGTTCGTATTGGAATGTTGGGGTCTTGCTGGTGTGGAGTCTCTAGAATCTGGTGGTGTCATATTTGTTTTTCTGTTGCTGAGTGTGTTTTTGTATTGTCTCTTTCCCATCTCTTCTTCTAGTGGGTGCAGAACGAGCCCCTTACTGCTCTGGGGACCAGAGTTCCCTTTTGGTGGGTGCTAGCAAGTACAATTATCTGGTGGTTCTTCTATTCCTTGTCCAAATGCTGGTCCCGTGGGTGGAGAAGAAGAACAGGAATCTAGGGCGCTTAGCCTCCTACCTGGTCCCCAGGACCCTATACTGGGTCCTGTTGTACCTGATCTGTAACAGCTACTCCCATGGTCTCCCTGGTTTCTCTGGTTTCCTGGTCTGGCTGCCAGGAGAGAATACCTGGAATCTGGGGTGCTTGGCTCCCGCCGGGATTGGGAGCTCTGTGCAGTTCCCAGGCGATCTGCAGGTACTGGAACACAGGCCAGGAAGCCGGCCTGTTTACCTGATGCTGTTGCAGGAACAGCTGCTTCTGTGGACTCCCAACCTCCTCTAGTTTCCTGGCCTCGTTACTGGGAGAGAAGATCTGGAGTCTGGGGAGTGAAGAAAATTTTATGGTTCCAAATTTGTAAGTGAGTGTCAGCACAATCGCAATGCTCATGTTTGGTATGCCCAATATCTACATTGTGATGATTGTGTGCATTTATAATCAGTGCTTAGGGGTACATAATGATAAATTGCAAATTCAGTTACCTATTGCCACACCTAGCCAAGATTAAAAAATCACTGACATCCTAGTCATTGTAACTGCCAGCATTCAATGCATGAGTAGACAGACCAAGGGAAGGGCATATTAAGGCATGTTTAAAATATTTACCATCTAATCATTCACTGTGTCTCACTAGGTTCAAGATACCTCATCTGCTCTACACAGAGCTATCCTATTTCACTCTGACATCACTGAGTATTCATCATTGTTGGATGTATAACCTCAAGTTTCTTTAATGCCAAAGCACCACATGCATAGGATCCCTTCACCTGTTCTCTTACACTGCCTTGTCACAGGAAGGATGGAGGCCTTTATACCTTGGGATGACATCATGTGTTTTAAATTTTATGCCACTTATGTGTGGTGAGTGTGTATCCACATAATGCTGAGCCTGTGCATCTATGCCAAGAGGGTTATGCATGTCTAGTTGCACATTGTGGAAATGCCTTTTGTGGTCTGTTGCCTGCATATCAGAACAAATTCAATAATCCCAACAAAAAATGGTCTCTGGTTTAACTTGCTGATGTGTACATTAGTCCACTAGAACACTGTGAGTCTCTGTCTCCCTTTTGACCCTCAGAAAGGTAACATAGTAATCTCACAGCACTCCTGAGCCTGTAGACTGGACACTCCTGAGCAACATCTATGCAAGACTGGACCATGAATATTTCCTGGCACAGTGAGAACATAAAGCTCTTGCCAAGGCAGTAACAATCAGTATTGAATGTATTTATAAAATACATTCTCCTATCCATGTTCTGCGTAATTACAATGGACTGAATGTCCTGATCAACTTCTTGATCCCACCTGTTCAGAAATTCACAGCTCAGTTAACCAATGTCTACTAATTGTTATTCTAAAAGTCAAGACATCTTTAAGTACCATCCTTTTATCTTGGTCTTAATCAGATTGAATTCCAAATTGGAATGGAGAACCCAAGGTTTATGGCTTAGTTTTCATGGGATTAAAAGGTCTTCTTTTGTAATGTTTGAAGGAGGTTATCTAAAGGGGACCTAGGTACTTAAGCTGATATTTCCAACACCTGTGGTGAAATGATGGAGCAACTAAGACTGCATTATCGTTCACTGAAATGCAGAAGAGAATAGATGGAAATGAGAAGTGTGCTGAGGCCTATGGGCTGGACATACTTAGGTTTTGCCAAAAAAGTGATTTCCTTGGCAGGACTCATGCTCTCCTAGAGAAGAGCACATGGACTTTACACGATTCCCCAGAAGGGAAACACTGCTGGGTGAATGAGGCCTTTGCACGGGCTAATGGGAAAGGCCAGATTGCATTAGTCCCTCATTTATCCCCTGTCCTTTAACCCTGGCCTCAGCAGCTGGAACCAGAGCATGATATTTTTGTCATCACCTCTCTTCATGACGTAGTCATGTCATCATGGACCCGTTTCCTCAGAAGGCATAGCTATTCCTGGTATTGGCACACATTCAGTGCTACTTACAAGGATGACAAAAGACCATCTATTCAGAAGGTATGTCTCGGCTGGCTTCGCACAAATGGTCATCGGGCATTAGACTCTTGAGGGTATCAAGCAGAATCAGTTGTCACAGTGAAGAACATTTTATTGTTCCAAATTCACAGGTCAGTGTCAGCACAATCTCAATGCTCAGATTTGGAATTCCCAATATCTATATTGTAAGGATTGTGTGCATTGATAATCAGTGCTTCGGGTTAGATAATGATAAATTGCAATTGCAGTTATCTTTTGCCACAAGTAGCCAAGATTAACCCATCACTGGTTTCATCCACATCCTCATTGGCAGCATTCAATGCTTGAGCTGAGAGACCATGGGAAGGGCATATTATAGGCCTGGTGAAAACATTTTACCAATCTGATCATTCACTATGTCTCCCTAGGTTCAACACATCTCATCTGCTCTGCACTGAGCTATCCTATTTCCCTCTGACATCACTGGGTACTTACCATTGTAGGATATAAAACTTCAAGTTTCTTAAGTGCCCAAGCATCAAAAGCATGGGATGCCTTCACCAGTTCTCTTAAACTACCTTATCCCAGGAAGAATGGAGGCTTTATAGCTTGGGATGACATTCATGTGTTTGAAATTTCATGCTACTTATATGTGGTCAGTGGGTATCCAAAAATGCTGAGCCTGTTTATATATGCCAATAGGGGAAGGCCTGTCCAGTTGCACAGTGTCGTATTGCCTCATGTGGCCTGTTGCCTGCATATCAGTACAAGTCCACTAACCCTAACCAAAAGAAATGGTATCTGAGTTTAACTTACTGATGTGTACATTAGTCCAAAAGAACACTGTGAGTGTGTGTCTCCCTTTTGACCCTCAGAAATGTAACCTAGTGATTTCAATGCAATCCTGGGCCTCCAGACTGGGCACTCCTGAGCAACATCTCTGCAAGATTGGAGCATGAATAATTCCTTGCATAGTGAGGACATAAAACTCTTGCCAAGTGAGTAACAATTGATATGGAAGGTATTTGAAAAATACATTCACCTATCAATATGCTGTGTAATTAAAATGGACTGAAAGTCCTGATCAATTTCTTGATCCCACTTGTTCGAAAATTCACAGACCAGTTACCCAATATCTCCTAATTATAATTATGAAGGCAAGGCATCTTTAATTACCATCCTTTTACCATGGTCTTAGTCAGATTGGATTGCAAAAAGGAAGGGTTAACCCAAGTTTTATGGCTTAGATTTCATTGGAATCTTACAAGGTCTTGCTTTTTAATGTTTGAAGGAGGATATCAAACTGAGACCTAGGTACATACACTAATATTGCCACGTACCTGAAAAGGGAAGTGATTGAGGCACCAAGGCTGCATCCTCTTTCACTGAAATGCATAACAGGATAGATGGAAATGAGCATTGTGCTGATGCCGCCATATGAAAATACTTAGATTTTGCCAAAAGAGCCTTCCTTGGGAGGACTCATGCTCCCCTAAAGAAGAGCAAAAGGACATAATAGGATTCCCCAGAATGGTCACACAGCTGGGTGAATGAGGGCTTGTACAGGGGCCTAAGGGAAAGGCCTGATGTGACTAGTCCCACATTTCTTCCCTGTCCTTTAACCTGGGCCTCAGCAGCTGGAACATGACCATGATTTCTATGTCATCACCTCTATTCAGGACGTAGGTTTGTCATCATAGACCAGTGTCCTCAGAAGGCATAGCTATACATTCTAGTGGGACACAAACAGTGCTACTTACGAGGATGACAAAGACCATCTATTCAGAAGGTATGTCTCGGATATCTTCACACAAATAGTCAGCGGGCATTAGAGACCTGAGGGTATCAAGCAGAATCAGTTATCTCAGTGTGGAAAATTTATGGATCCAAATTTACAAGTCAGTGTCAGCACAATCACAATGCTCAGGTTTGGAATTCCCAATATCTAAAATGTGATGATTGTGTGCATTGGTAATCAGTGCTTCGGTTAGATAATGATAAATTGCAAATGCCGTTATGTTGTGATTAACACATCACTGGTTTCTTCCTCATCCTCACTGCCAATATTCAATGTTTGTAATGACAGACCATGAGAAAGGCATGTTATAGGTCTGGTGAAAACATTTTACAATTGATCATTCACTGTGTCTCACTAGGTTCAAGACATCTCATCTGCTCAGCAATGAGCTATCCTATTTCCCTGTGACATCACTAGGTACTCACCATTGTAGGATGCATAACCTCAAGTTTCTTAAGTGCCCAAGCACCACAAGCATGGGATGCCCTCACCAGTTCTCTTACTCTACCTTAACACAGGAAGGATTGAGGATTTATATCTTGAAATGACATTAATGTGTATGAAATTTCATGGCACTTATATGTGGTGAGTGTGTATCTAATAATACTGAGCCTGTGCATATATGCCTAGATGTTAAGGCCTGTCCAGTTGCACATTGCCGTATTGCCTCATGTGGCCTATTGGCTGCATATCAGGACAAGTACACTAATCCTAACAAAAAGAAATGGTATCTGAGTTTAACTTACTGATGTGTAGATTAGGCCACTAGAACACTGTGACTGTGTGTATCCGTTTAGACTCTCAGAGAGTTAACCTAGTGATCTCCCTGCACTCTTGGGCCTGCAGACTGGACAATCATGAGCAACATCTCTGCAAGACTGGAGCATGAATAATTCCTGGCACAGTGAGAACATAAAACACTTGCCAATGTAGTAACAATCAATGTGGAAGGTATTTGAAAAAAGCATTTAACTATCAATATGGTGTGTAATAAAATGGAATGAAAGTCCTTATCCATTTTTGGTCCCACCTGTTCAAAAATTCACAGCTCAGTCACCCAATATCTACTAATTTGAATTATAAGTCAAGGCATCTTTAATTGCCATCCTTTTATGATGGTCTTAGTCAGATTGGATTCAAAAAAGGAAGGGAGATCCCAAGTTTTATGGCTTAGATTTCATTGGAATCATAGAAGGTCTTGCTTTCTAATGTTTGAAAAGGATATCAAAACGAAACCTGGGTACGTACACTGATTTTGCCACGTACCTGAAGGTGAAATGAGTGAGGCACCATGTCTGACCCCTCGTTCACTGAAATGCATAAGAGAATAGATGGTAATGAGCATTGTGCTGATGCCGCCATATGGAAATACTTAGATTTTGCCAAAAGAGCCTTCCTTGGGAGGACTCATTCTCCCCTAAACAAGTGCAACAGGACTTACCAGTATTCCCCAAAATTGTAACACTGTTGGGTAAATGAGGGCCTGTAAACGGGCTTATGGGAAAGGCCTGATAGGACTAGTTCCCCATTTCTCCCCTGTGCTTTAACCTGGGCCTCAGCAACCGGAACCTGAGAATGACTTTTATGACATCTGCTCTCTTCAGGACGTAGGTTTCTCATCATAGAACCGTGTCCTCAGAAGGCTTAGCTATACATTTTAATGCGACACAAACAGTGCTTCTTACCAGGATGACAAAGACAATCTATTCAGAAAGTATGTCTCAGCAATCTTCACACAAATGTTCAGCGGGCATTAGCGTCCTGAGGGTATCAAATAGAATCAGTAATGTCAGTGAACAAAATTTAAGGATCCAAATTTACAAGTCAGTGTCAGCACAATCGCAATGCTCAGGCTTGGATTTCCTAATATCTACAATGTGATGATTGTGGGCATTGATAATCATTGCTTCGGGTTAGATAATGATAAATTGCAAATGCAGTTATCTTTTGCCACACCTAGCCAAGATTAACCAATCACTGGTTTCATGCTCATCCTCACTGCCAGCATTCAATGCTTGAGCTGACAGACCATTGGAAGGGCATATTAAAGGTCTGGTGAAAATATTTTACCATTGATCATTCACTGTGTCTTACTAGGTTCAAGACTTCGCATCTGATCAGCACTGAGCTATCCTAATTCCCTGTGACATCACTAGGTACTCCCAAATGTAGGATGCATAACCTCAAGTTTCTTAAGTGCCCAAACACCACAAGCATGGGATGCCTTCTCCAGTTATCTTACCCTACCTTAACACAGGAAGGATGGAGGCTTTATATCTTGGGATGACATTCATGTGTTTGAAATTTCATGGCACTTATATGTGGTGAGTGTGTATCCAATAATGCTGAGCCTATGCATATATGCCAAAAGGGGAAGGCTTGTCCAGTTGCACATTGTCGTATTGCCTCATGTGGTCTGTTGCCTGCATATCAGGACAAGATCACTAATCCTACCAAAAAGAAATGATATCTGAGTTTAACTTACTGATGTTTACATTATCCACTAGAACACTGTGACTGTGTGTATCCGTTTTGACCCTCATAATGTAAACCTAGTGACCTCCCTGCTCCCTGGGCTTGCAGACTGGACAATCCTTAGCAACATCTATGCAAGCCTGGAGCATGAATAATTCCTGGCACAGTGAGAACATGAAACTCGTGCCAAGGTAGTAACAATCAATGTGGAAAGTATTTGAAAAATACATTCACCTATCAATATGCGATGTAATAAAATGGACTGAGAGTCCTGATCCATTTCTTGGTCCCACCTGTTCAAAAATTCACAGCTCAGTACCAAATATCTACTAATTGGAATTATAAGTCAAGGCATCTTTAATTACCATCCTTTTATCATGGTCTTAGTCAGATTAGATTCCAAAAAGGAAGGGAGATTCCAAGTTTTATGGCTTAGATTTCATTGGAATCCTAGAAGGTCTTGCTTTCTATTGTTTGAAGGAGAATAACAAAACGAGACCTGGGTACATACACATATTGCCACGTACATGGAGGTGAAATGGTTGAGGCACCATGTCTGACCCCTGGTTCACTGAAATGCATAAGAGAATAGATGGAAATGAGCATTGTGCTGATGCCGCCATATGGACATACTTAGATTTTGGCAAAAGAGCCTTCCGTGGAAGGACTCATGCTCCCCTAAAGAAGAGCAACAGGATTTAACAGGATTCCCCAGAAGTGTAACACTGCAGCGTGAATGAGGGCCTGTACACTGGCCTATGGGAAAGGCCTGATGGGACTAGTCCCCCATTTCTCCCCTGTCCTTTAACCTGGGCCTCAGCAGCCGGAACCTGAGCATTATTTTTATGTCATCACCTCTCTTCAGGACGTAGGTTTCTCATCATACACCCGTGTCCTCAGAAGGCACAGCTATACATTCTAGTGGGACACAAACAGTGCTACTTACCAGGATGACAAAGACCATCTATTGAGAATGTATGTCTCATCAATCTTCACACAAATGGTCAGCGGACATTAGAGTCCTGAGGGAATCAAACAGAATCAGTAATTTCAGTGAAGAAAATTATGGATCCAAATTTACAAGTAAGTGTCAGCATAATCTCAATGCTCAGGTTTGGATTTACCAATATGTACAATGTGATGATTTTGTGCATTGATAATCAGTGCTTCGGGTTAGATAATGATAAATTGCAAATGCCGTTATCTTGTGATTAACCCGTAACTGGTTTCATCCTCATCCTCATTGCCAGCATTCAATGTTTGTGCTGACAGAACTTGGGAAGGGCATATTATAGGTCTGGTGAAAACATTTTAAGATCTGATCATTCACAGTGTCTCACTAGGTTCAAGACATCTCATCTCCTCAGCACTGAGCTATCCTATTCCCCTGTGACATCACTAGGTACTCACCATTGGAGGATGTTTAACCTCAAGTTTCTTATGGACCATGAACCACAAGCATGGGATGCCTTCACCAGTTCTCTTCCCCTACCGTGTCGCAGGAAGGATCAATGCCTTTATAGCTTGGGATGATATGCATGTGTTTGAAATTCCATGCCACTTATTTATGGTGAGTGGGTATCCACATAATGCTGAGCCTGTGCATATATACCAAGTTGGGAATGCCTGTCCAGTTGAATATTGCTCTATTGCCTCATGTGGCCTGTTGCCTGCATATCAGGACAAGTTCACTAATCCTAACCGAAAGAATCGGTATCTGAGTTTAACCTACTGATATGTACATTAATCCACTAGAACACTGTGACTGTGTGTATCTGTTTGAACCCTCAGAAAGTTAACCTAGTAATCTCCCTGCACTCCTGGGGCTGCAGACTGGACAATACTGAGCAACATCTATGCAAGAATTGAGCATGATTAATTCCTGACACAGTGAGAACATAAAACTCTTGCCAAGGTAGTAGCAATCAAAGTGGAAGATATTTGAAAAATACATTCACCTATCAATATGCTGTGTAATAAAATGGAATGAAAGTCCTGATCCATTTCATGGTACCACCTGTTCAAAAATTCACAGCTCAGTTACCCAATATCTACTAATTGTAATTATAAGTCAAGGCATCTTCAATTACCATCCTCTTATCATTGTCTTAGTCAGATTGGATTCCAAAAAGGAAGGGAGAATCCATGTTTTATGACTTGGATTTCATTGGAAACTTAGAAGGTCTTGCTTTCTAATGTTTGAAGGATGATATCAAAACAATACCTGGGTACATACACTGATATTGCCACATACCTCAAGGTGAAATGATTGAGGCACCAAGTCTGAATCCTAGTTCACTGAAATGCATAAGAGAATAGATGGAAATGAGCATTGTGCTGATGCCGCCATATGAACATACTTAGATTTTGCCAAATGAGCCTTCCTTGGAAGGACTCATGCTCCCCTAAAGAAGAGCAACTGGACTTAAAAGGATTCCCCAGAAGGGTAACAATGCTGGGTGAATGAGGGCCGGTACATGGGCCTATGGGAAAAGCCTGATGGGACTAGTCCCCCATTTCTCCCCTGCCCTTTAATCTGGGCCTCAGCAGCCGGAACCTGAGCATGATTTTTATGTCATCACCTCTCTTCAGGACGTAGGTTTCTCATCATAGACCCATGTCCTCAGAAGGCACAGCTAGACATTCTAGTGGGTCACAAACTGTGCTACTTACCAGGATGACAAAGACCATCTATTCAGAAGGTATGTCTCATCAATCTTCACACAAATGGTAAGCGGCTTTAGCGTCCTGAGGGTATCAACCAGAATCAGTAATCTCAGTGAAGAAAATTTATGGATCCAAATTTACAAGTCAGTGTCAGCGCAATCGCAATTCTCAGGTTTGGAATTCCCAATAACTACAACGTGATGATTGTGTGCATTGATAATCAGGGCTTCAGGTTAGTTATTGATAAATTGCAAATGCAGTTATCTTTTTCCACACCTAGCCAAGATTAACCCATCACTGGTTTCATCCTCATCCTCAGTGCCAGCATTCAATGCTTGTGGTGACAGACTATGGGAAGGGCATATTATAGGTATGTTGATAACCTTTTAACATTGATCATTCACTGTGTCTCACTAGGTTCAAGAAATCGATTCAGCTCAGCACTGAGCTATCCTATTTCCCTGTGACATCACTAGGTACTCACCATTGTTAGATACATAACCTCAAGTTTCTTAAGGGCCCAAACACCACAAGCATGGGATGCCTCCACCAATACTCTTACCCTACATTATCACAGGAAGGATGGAGGCTTTATAGCTGGGGTGACATTCATGTGTTTGAAATTTCACGGCACATACATGTGGTGAATGTGTATCCAATAATGCCGAGCCTGTGCTTATATGCCAAGAGGGGAAGGCCTGTCCAGTTGCACATTGTCGTATTGCCTCATATGGCCTGTTGCCTGCATAACAGGACAAGTTCACTAATGCTAACAAAAATAAATGGTATCTGAGTTTACTTACTGATGTGTACCTTGGTTCACCAGAACACTGTGACTGTGTATATCTGCTTAGACCCTCAGAAATTTAACCTAGTAATCTCCCTGCACTCCTGGGCCTGCAGACTGGACAATCCTGAGAAACATCTATGCAAGACTGGAGCATGAATAATTCCTGGCACAGTGAGAACATAAAACGTTTGCCAAGGTAGTAACAATAAATGAGGAATGTATTTGAAATATACATTCACCTGTCAATATGCTGTGTAATTAAAATGGACCCAAAGTCCTGATCCATTTCTTGCTGCCACCTGTTTGAAAATTCCGATTAGTTACCCAATATCGACTAATTGGAATTATAAAGTCAAAGCATCTTTATTTAACATCCGTTTATCATGGTCTTAGTCACATTGGATTCCAAAAATGAAGGGAGAATCCATGTTTTATGTCCTTTAACCTGGGCCTCAGCAGCCGGAACCTGAGCATGATTTTTATGTCATCACCTGTCTTCAGGACGTAGGTTTCACCTCATAGACCCGTGTCCTCAGAAGGCACAGCTAGACATTTTAGTGGGACACAAACAGTGCTACTTCCCAGGATGACAAAGACCATCTATTCAGAAGGTACGTCTCATCAATCATCACACAAATGGTCAGCGGGCATTAGAGTGTTGAGGGAATCAACCAGAATCAGTAATCTCAGTGAAGAAAATTTATGGACCCAAATTAACACGTCAGTGTCAGCATAATCTCAATGCTCAGGTTTGGAATTCCCAATAACTTCAATTTGATGTTTGTGTGCATTGGTAATCAGTGCTTCGGGGTAGATAATGATAAATTGCAAATGCCATTATCTTGTGAATAACCCATCACTGGTTTCATACTCATCCTCACTGCCAGCTTTCAATGTTTGTGCTGACAGACCATGGTAAGGGCATATTATATGTCTGGTGAAACATTTTATCATTGATCATTCACTGTGTCTCACTAGGTTCAAGACATCTCATCTGTTCAGCACTGAGCTATCCTATTCCCCTGTGACATCACTAGGTACTCACCATTTCAGGATGTATAAATTAAGTTTCTTAGTGCCCAAGCACCACAAGCATGGGATGCCTTCACCAGTTCTCTTACACTACCTTATCACAGGAAGTATGGAGGCTTTATATCTTGGGATGACATTCATGTGTTTGAAATTTCATGGCACTTATATGTGGTGAGTGTTTATCCAATAATGCTGAGCATGTGCATATATGCCAAGAGGGGAAGGCCTGTCCAGTTGCACATTGTCGTATTGCCTCATGTGGCCTGTTGCCTGCATTTCAGGTAAGTTCACTAATCCTAACAAAAAGAACGGTATCTGAGTTTAACCTACTGATATATACATTAGTCCACTTGAACACTGTGAGTGTGTGTCTCCCTTTTGACCCTCACAAGGTAACTTAGTGATTTCACTGCACTCCGGGCCCTGCAGACTGGACAATTCTGAGCCACATCTATGCAAGCCTGGAGCATGAATAATTCCTGGCACAGTGAGAACATAATACTCTTACCAACGTAGTAACAATCACTGTGGAAGGTATTTGAAAAATGCATTCACCTATCAATATGCTGTGTAATAAAATGGACTGAAAGTCCTGATCCATTTCTTGGTACCACCTGTTCAAAAATTCAAAGCTAAGGTACCCAATATCTACTAATTGGAATTATAAGTCAAGGCATCATTAATTACCATCCTTTTATGATGGTCTTAGTCAGATTGGATTCAAAAAAGGAAAGGAGATCCCATGTTTTATGGCTTAGATTTCATTGGAACCCTAGAAGTTCTTGCTTTCTAATGTTTGAAGGATGATATCAAAACATGACCTGGGGACATACACTGATTTTGCCACATACCTGAAGGTGAAATGATTGAGGCACCATGTCTGACCCCTCGTTCACTGAAATGCATAAGAGAATAGATGGAAATGAGCATTGTGCTGATGCCGCCATATGGACATACTTAGATTTTGCCAGAAGTGCCTTCCTTGGGAGGACTCCTGCTCCCCTAAAGAATAGCAACAGGACTTAACAGGATTCCCCAGAAGGGTAACACTGCTGGGTGAATGAGGGCCTGTACACGGGCCTATGGGAAAGGCCTGATGGGACTAGTTCCCCATTTCTCCCTCTCCTTTAACATGGGCCTCAGCAGCCGGAACCTGTTAAGAGAAGCTTATTCTTGAGAGGAGCCTTCCCGCCTGCCTGGGTCCAGATCCGCTTTCCCTCCAGCCTGGTTCTAGAGCCATATCAGTCCCAAATAAACACACAGGAGGCTATATGAATTATGAAGCTGTTGTCCTTGCTTGTTTCTAACTGTCTAGCTCTGACTTAAGTAATTACCCCATAATTGTTAATCTAAATATGTTTCTTTCCGGGGAGGTTCCAGGCTTCCTACCCCAATGGCGGTTACATCTCGAACCCTCTTGTGTATCTCCTTCCCAGAATCCTCCTGGACTCCTAGCCCCACCTATATAGATTCCTATTGGCCAGACAGTCTTTATTGACAAATGCACTGGACTTCCCCCAACATCTCCTCTTTTCTGTTTTAACTAAAAGAAAGATATTAACTTTAACAGTCAAATTGTATATAACAGAACAGTTATCAAATAAGAACATAGTTACAATATTTTAGAAAGACTTAAAGAAAATATCATCTATCTCATTCTTGTGAGTCCAAAGTCCTATATGTAGCTTATCTTTTATCATAACTAAGGAACACTATAACTATCTGTCTTCAACTCCATCAAAGACCACAGAAGGATAATATATAAACACTAGAAATGACAGAGACATCTTGCTACCTGGACAGTCACTCAAAGTTCCTCTGTAACGTCGGGGCATCCATCTTCAGCCCATAGGCCACAATGTGTCTGGAACACTTCTCAGCAAAGCAGGAAATTTCAACTGTGCATCTGCGTTGGCAGTCTGTCATTCATTTTTCTTTGTCCTGCAGAAAGTCTTGCAGACTCTTCCATGAAGCAGGAACCCTGTAAGACTGAGTTTAGCATTCACTTTCCTGTGGGTGCTGCATGTCCAGATTATACAACAACTGTAAGACTGAGTTCAGCATTCACTTTCCTGTGGGTCCTGCATGTCCAGATTATACAACAACAGTCAAACAGTCTAGGCAAGAGCAGTTTCTTGCCCAAATGGCTAATCTTGCCATGTTGAAAGCAAACTCCATAACAAGTTTCTTCGATGCCCATTTTCCTCTCAGACATAATTGGTGCTGCCAGGAGCAGACATTTCTCATTGTCAAGAAAAACCCTAAACCATTTTAAATGCCATGTTCTGAAGGTCTTTGAGAGGTTTGAAGACTGTCCATCTCAAATATATTTTTGTGTATCTAGAAAACCTAACTAACCAAACTATAAATTCTAACTATTATAAGTAACTATCTATTGTCTGTATTTAATTATGCATTACATTTTAAAAGAACAGTATAAGTACAATACTTAGTCAAGAGGAGAAATATACTTATCACAAAATTGACTTTGAATTTGTATCAATAAATGAAAAACAATACCCATAACATAATTCCCTTTTTTACCATTAAAAAAGATTGGCTGTGATCACTAGCCAATTATAAACAATCCCATTTAAATGAAAACAAAGATTTATAAACAAAATGGGAATTGGGACGTCGCTCATTCCAAACTGCTTCCTGCTGGAAGGGGGCGCTGTTTATACCATGGGGATCATGACAAAACTCAGAAACCTGTATAAGTCCATATTTTCGGGGTCTGTAAGACTGCATCATCTTCGCTGTTTCGATTGTTGGAACACCTGATCCACTGCTTCCGGGGGTCTTGGTTCGTCAAACCACAAATGCCTGGAAGGAATCCTTAGCTTTTCATTTTCTGTAGAAACATAAATAAAAACACCTTTTCCTAGTAACATATCCTTATGCTTAAATTTTGAAGTCAAGGTATTTTCAAAAGATATAAGTTGAATTAATACAGAAGTATTTATAATCAAGTGTACTTTAGCAGCTGTTCCTTCCTGAGCAAGCAAAAAACTGAAAAACACAATAGTGTACAGTATCCAGACTCTCTGTGTGTTTTCCATCTTTACGTGGCTTATTTATTTATCTATTATTACTTTATTTCTTTTTCTCTGAGACAGGGTTTCTCTTTGGAAATCCGCCTGCCTCTGCCTCTGAAGTAAATCCTACCGGCGTGCGCCACCACAGCCGGCTTTTGTATTTATTTACCACTTTGTCGTTTTATTTTCTCTCTCAATCTCACGTATATTTTTAAACACACTGTAAACCTTTAAAGGTTTTGTTCATCCAAGTCTGACTTTACTGTAAATCTTTACGTTTTTCTGGCCACGTGTCTTATCTGTAAAACCACGGCTGTTTTAAACTGCCGTTTCAAGATGGCGGGCATAAGCGTGACTCAAGCTTACCGCCTCAGTCCATGCTGACCTCCAGCAAAAGCTGCCACTTCCAGCTGTACGTACACCCCTTTCAATCGGTAGCAGAGTCTCTTAAAACAACCTTGCTGTTTTTTTTCTTTTTATGCTGAGTCAGGAAGACTCCGGTAAACGAGCCACGTGAATCTCAGCTTGTCGATAGCAAAACGGAGCACACCTGAGAAAATGCTGCTACCAAAATCTGTGCTTCTCTCTGTTCTTCTGTTTCTAAAATTCCTTTAAAGCTTTTGTTATTTTTCGTGGAACTTCATGATCCCACTCCTGATCACCATTTTGTTAAGAGAAGTTTTTTTTTTTTTTTGCCAACCGCTTTGGTTTATCCCCCACCAGTCGCCTGGGCTCTGCCGTGCCAGCCTGATAACTGTTCTGTCATATAAAATTTGACTATGTTAAAATTAAGACCTTTCTTTTGTTTAAACAGAAAAGAGGAGATGTTGGGGAAGTCCTGTTATTTGCCTGTGCATTTGTCAATAAAGGACTGTCTGGCCAATAGAAAACCTAGATAGGAGGGTCTAGGAGTCGAGGAGGATTCTGGGAAGGGGAAACACAAGAGAGTCAACATGTGACGCCATGGAGGTGGGACACCGGGAAATATTCTCCGGTAAGAAACATAGTTAGATTAACAATTATCGGGTAATTACTTAAGGCAGAGCTAGCCAGTAAGAGAAAAACAAGGCCAACAGCTTCATAATTAATATAGCCTCCTGTGTGTTTATTTGGGACTGATGTGGATCTAGAACCAGGCTGGCGCGGCAGAGCCCAGGAGACTGGCTGGGGATAAACCAAAGCGGCTAGCAAAAGAAAAAGCTTCTCTCAACAGGAACCAGAGCATGATTTTTATGTCATCACCTCTCTTCAGAACATAGCTTTATCATCATAGTC